CAACCTTAAAACATGTGGCATATACACCGAGAACTGGGAAGCCCTGGCCCTAGAACTCTCTATCTGGAGGTCAGCTGTACCAGCAGTGCTGTAGAATTTGAAGAGGCATGAATGGAGGGTGAAAAGGAGACACATGCCAAGAGGAAGGCGCATCAAGCCTACCCTGTCTGGAAACTGATGCCCTCACTGCAGGAGAACATGCAGGTCAAGAATAGGGCTCCACAGTCACCTATGGACCCACCGCCAGGATACCGAACTTGGAGGACAATCTTACTCGGACAAGGAGGGATCGCCGAAGTAAGTAAGTACATGTTGCCCACTGTAACAGAGTGCCTGGTGTTATTTTTGTCTGCCTGTCTTGTTACTTACACATGTGGAAGATCCATTGAGCTCCAAGCAGATGACTTTTGTACTTTTTACTTCCTTGAGATTCATACATGTGAACTAGAAAAGAATTGAGGGAAGAGCACTGTCATTTTGCTTAGAAGAGCAGATGTTTCCTTATAGCCAATTCTATTTATTTTTATTACATACTACTGCCACATTTGAATGCCCCATCATCTAAGCCAAGCAACTGAGGAAGGTCTTCCCTCCATCTCAACTGCCACTGGTCTGAACTTGGAACGAGAGAAGAGTAGGCGGTTGTTGCTGAACTTAACATCCTCCTCTACTTTCATTTCCTTTTCCTCTTGTGTTTTGTATTACCTACACAATAAGCCTCAGGGCATATTAACAATTTTTAAAACATCTCTAGGATTCTTTCTGGTTGAAGGGCAAGGTATAAATACTCTAAATAAACAGATAAACAAATAAACAAATAAACAAATCCACCCTCATACTCTCTCTGTGAGGTTGACAGACCTCCTCATTAACTATTATTTAAAATGCAACCAACATAGAATATTTCATTATTTTTAACAGAAGAAAATAAAACCAGATGATTAGAATGCAGTACAATTCAGCCTTTGAAACATGAGATATATGCCCAAATCCACTAGTATTTTCTTACTCATTTTACAACATTTCAAAATGCTCCATAATATTAATTGGCAGTGATCACAGTGCATTATTTTTTTTTTAAAAAAACATGTCTCCTTTTTGCTATATGACACAGATGGCAGACAATAGAAATCCATAGTTTGGTGAGAATTTTTTGCAGTTTACGATTTATTATTATGATTCGCAAAATCACACATTGAGGGTTTTTTTTTAAAAAAATACAGACAACAATATATTCTGTGCATAAAATATTCCTAGATCAAAACAAGTTAAAGCAGGAAATCTCTGCTACTACCTGCGCAGGAAGTACTGTTTTCTGTGCAAAAATATCTCATGCAAATTTTGGTATGAAGACTTTCTCATAGTGGCAACCAAATTAGTAAATTTTGTTGCTTCTTTTGAGAATGAAGTTAGTAAAGAATTGCAGTCTTAGAAGTCACGGTCTAGGTGGAGCTACACTGTAGAATGCCTGACTTTACCTGCCATGGCTCAGTGCTATAGTCTCAAGTAAAGACCCTCACGGGCAGTACTGTACAACCATGTGAATGTTGCTCAAACATGGCCATGAAAAGAGGAGCCAAGTCAGCCTAGAAACCGGATCCTAATTTTCTCAGCAAAGACAACACTGGAATTGATGGGGGTGGGGGATGATGATTTTAAAGGCTTTCCCCCAATTAGGAAATATTATGCTACTTAATTAGTGGATAAAATGAATTAAAGGGTTAATCACAGATCTAAAAAAAACGTTGGGTACAATGAAGCTTTCTTTCACTATGTCTAAACCAGCAGCTGAAATTATTCATATTACTTGCCTGCACTTGACTGTCTTCAACTCTGGCTGTGTTAGATGATGTGGTGACCTCAGTTTTTGTCTGCACAATAGGACTAGATGTCACAGATTTTACTGCAATTGGAGTTTCAGTTGTTCCATTGCTGGCAGCATATGATTCATTCCCTTGTGTTGTAGATATGTGTGATATTGATCTGGCTGTTGTTACAGGCGGAATAAGGGTGCTGCTGGCATTCTTTTTGAGTGCTATATCTTCTGAGGTTGAATTTTCTGGTACTAGAGATACTATAAGGAGAAAAGAGTACATGTAACCATACATGAACATCTGAGAACTCCCAGGATAGAACTATATCTCTGCTGGTACTATCATGTAGCATGTCTTCATAGGTTGCATTTATGTGCTCTGCTAAATTTGCAATGCTGTACAGATTTAGTCTCATAGAATTATATTCACCTTAATTATTTTTGTTTCATACCTTGTAGCTACAAAGCCAAAGGCAATGCCTTTTACCTGCTGTTGTTGAAACTTTAGGTGTAGTGGCAACTCCAGTTGGCATTTTTGTGGTGGCAGTGGGTTTCACAGTGGTGGTAGCAACTGGTGAAACCTTTTCCGAAGTTGTTGCTTCATCTGCAAAAACATGATTGTCTAAAAGAAAGAGGAAGAAAGAGAGAAATTATAGCTCAGTAACACAGTGTAGAATTGAATAAGAATCTCTGATGGGATGCAACGTAGCAATTCCATAATATATATGTGTGTGTACACACACAAATGTGTCAATCTCACAAATAAGTCAAGGTTTATATCTCTTGACCATTTTATCATGTTTTCCTTCATCTGTTCAGTTTCAGTAGACCATATTAATAATTGTTGGTATATTTTCCTAATTAATTTTGTGTCTGTTTTTAGTATCTTGTCCCAAAATGTTTCTTTTATTTCAAAGCCTATTTTGTTATCTGTGTTCAAGTTCTCTTTGATTTGCCATATTGAAACCAAGAGAGTGATGGGTCAATTGATGTTAGTTCTTCAAATGTTCTAAGCTTTGCTCCTTGTGTGTTTATTTTCAATAACTGTCTATATGATAACCATTTCTCTCTGGGAAGCTCTCTCATATGGTTGGCCTCATTTGGCGAGAACCATAATGGTGTCTTTGTGTATAATCTTTCTTTGTACTTACTCCATGTTTGAATAAGAACTGCTCTCGTGAAGTGGTTTTTAAAGTTTTTTTTGCCCTTTTTTGTCTTCCCTCTCCATAGGTAGCTATGCCACCCCTGAACCAGGTCAAAGCCTTCTACAGCTAATATTTTTCTTTTTTCTAATGTTGTCCAGTCTCTTATCCAAGTTAAGGCGGAAGCATCGTAGTACAACTGAAAGTCTGGGAGGCCTAGGTCTCCTCTTTTTTTATCCTCTGCCAGATTTTTTAAACTTATTCTGTGTTTTTTTACCTTTCCAGATAAATTTTGCTATTTTTTTACGCCATTTCTGTATTGTTGTTTTAGTTCTTATAATCGGAAGAGTCTGGAACAGGAAGAGAATGTTCGGTAAAATGTTCATTTTAATTGTAGCAATTTTCCCAAGTAGGGAGAGATTCAAATTTTCCCATGTCTTCATTTTTCCTTTTATTTCTGACCACCTTTTTATAGTTATTTTTCAGTAAATGTGCTTTGCTAGCTGTGATTATTACTCCTAGATATTTTGTCTTTGTGACAATTTTAATTCCTGTTTTTTTCTTGTAATTTTTTTCTATCTCTCTTTACCGATATTTTTTGGCAATAATTTGCATTTTATCTCTATTTATTTTGAATCCTGCCACTTCGCCAAATCTTTTAATTTCTTGTAGCCATTTGTTTATACCATCCAGAGGATCTTCTACAATAATAGATGAGATTTTCTATTGACTGTAGATAAGTCAGCCTGTGTTTTTGGGGTTTTTTTTTTAACTAAACCTTTAGACTTATACATGAATATACTTGTATCCAATTTATTTATTTATCATGTCATGGGCAACCAGACAATTGTATTACATTTCTAACAGAACAAAACAAACAAACAAACAAACAAACATACAAACAGACAAAACATAAAATTTGCAAGCTTGGTAGTTGATTAAATCCAATGAGGTCATCCTATTCATAAGTGCATTTGCATTATTTGAAGCAAACAATAATTTGCATGTGTGGAAGAGCTGTGTATTCAAACACTTTAGATGGTCTAGAGTAGAGACAAATGCAGCTCAGAGTCAAGAAGAATACAGTAATCAAGGATAGAGATGACTTGAGTCTTTTCTAAAACGGGCTGGAGTTTTCTTGGATAGTATATAACCCAGTATTTTTTGAAATGAAATCTATCTCATCTCTTCAGAATTATTCCAGAATTAGCTAAGATGGATGATGCAAGTAAAATAAAATTGTTGTTTCCAGGACAAAGATTCAAAGGTGTTCTGTTGTGGGAAACAGGTATATTTCTGCCAAAACAAAATGTAATGCTTCACTACTTTAAACTTCTGAACCTTTCAAGGCAGTGTTAAAAAGTATTTTAACATTTTGGCTATTACTCCTGAATAATAATAAAAATGTTCTGTGGAAATGGTTAAAATCAGTCTGTGGGATGCTGCCTGAGTCCACGATGAAAAAAGGAGTAAAAGAAGAGGGACAGGATTGGTGATAGTTTGGATATGAGAGTGGAAAAAAGAGAGAAAAGTAAAAAAAAAGATGCCTGGGTTTGTACTTGATGGACAGGAAGGGCAGTGAGGGAGTCAATGAGCAAGAAGAGAAGCACTTGGGGGGAAAAGATTAGAAGTTCATTATTGTGTTTGAAACAACAATGAAATATCCAAATAGAAATAGAGACAGGCACCTGGCCATGCAGCATTGAGCAAAGGGATTGATAATAGAGATCCTTATTATTTGTACAGATACTACTGGTGGAAGTAGGATAAAATGAGGTTATGAGGCCACATTTTGTGCCTCTCTTTCTATCTGCATTTGTTTAATGACAGGAGCCAACCAATTAAAAGATACTAAGTTATAAATGAAATTGAAAATCTGCAAATGAAAAGAGCAATAGCAGACCTTTCTAGATTGGGTCAAAAGAAGTATGAATTCTCATTCCTCGTGTTTTGCTTATAAGTGTCACCTCTGTCTCTAGTCGTTTCATTCCATTTTAGGGCTGTTTTGTTATAATTATTGAATTCTTTCAAAGGTGTTTATTTAAATTAAAGAAAAACAAAACAAAATCTGGGACATGGTTTTCTGAGGTGTATGCTTTGGCTTGATGAGCAAGTTTTGTCACAATTCTTTAAAGTGTTCTTTGTAGACTGTTATAGTTACAAAACATTATTTCACTGATGTGTATTAGCATTACAGTAGGCACTCCACCTTCACAGGAGTTAGGGGTGTAGGATTTCTGTGAAAGTGAAAGAACTGAGAATAAAAAATCCCACTTTCTCTCTCTAGGAATCTCTAGGTCATCTAACATGATTCTGGCATCCAAACTTGTAGCCAAGGGGGTGGTGGTGGTGTTAGGGGTTCAACTCCCCCTCCATCCAAAAAAATTCAGGTTATAAAACACCCTGCTTTATTCATGAATTTTAACTGGTTAACCAAATCCCCATGCTAAGTCTATGAGAAGAAAAAATTAAACAAGTCCTTCCAGAACTGCAAGCAGTATCTCAAGCAAATTTTGATAATTTATTCACACTCTCATTACTTGCAGCAATGGCCAATATAGTGGAAGCAACTAAGTTGGCCTACCCATAACTGGCAGGCAAAGATTAAGGCATGTGGGGGGGGGGGGCATTTGAGGGCCCTCGTGAAGGAGACCAGACTTGATGGGGGCAGTTGACAGGGGTCGAGCTGTAGGTATTTAAGGCTGTTCTGCCCCCCCCCCCATGCTCTTTGCTTCAGCTTCAGCTAATGGGGGATTAGGCCTTTCCCTCCTTGTTCCCTCCCCTCTTCATTTCCAGACGATAGTAGGGTTCCCATGCTATGCCAGGTGATAGTATGATAGCTGGGTCCATCTGCTCCGAGCATTATGCAGATGCCGTAAAGGTGGTTTTGAATAAAGGAAGGGATCACGTGATCTTTTTTTTTAACAGTTTTTAGAGTTTCAAATTTTTCAAATTTTCCATTTTTTTCTCTTTTTTTCCCCCTCCCCCCTTCTCTCTTTTTCCTACTTTCTATACAAGCAAATATTCTCCCACTTTCATTGTGAAGGCAATACTATCTTTAGATTTCTTTTTTTTCATTTTCTTTATTTCACATGATAAAATTTCAATAAAAACATTTGGAAAAATAAGAGAGAGGGGGCGGAGTGAGAGCGAGGAGAGCAGTACAGTGGGGGCGGGAATATACTTCGTAGTTGTATTTGGAAGAAGGATAGAAAGGAGGGGAAGGTTAGGATAAGGTTTGGGGTAAGCTTTAGGGTTAGGCTTAGGCTTAGGGTTAGGGTAAGGTATAGAGTAAGGTAGGGTAAGCTTTAGGGTTACAGTTAGGGTTAGGATTAGGTTTAGGGGTTAGGCTTAGGGTTAAGGTAAGGTTTAGGGTAAAGGTTAGGGTTTTACCATTAAAGAACTCTTTCATTCCTTCTATAATATATGTGTCCGGCTTACATTACCTCAGTATCTTACCACGCTACCCAGTCTCAGTCACATGTTCCGTTCCACGTTGCGCAAACAGCGCTCCTGAAGGAGTGAAGTGGAAACAGCGTAACGCTCGGAGCTTCTGGACCCAGCTATCATACTACTGCCCTATACCTTTGTCCCAGGGAGTCGTTCTGCAACTTGGGAAGTTTCTGCCCTTGGCATTTATTGGCAGAGATTTCCCAGCAGAGCATAAGGGTTGGGCTGGAGGTTTGGGCGGTTGCACTAAGCAGAGTTCCCCTCCTAAGTTGCTTTAGGGAAGGCACATCATGTAGCAGAGGAGGTTTGCCTTCCTCCCCACTTTAGAATACATTAATAAGTTGTTGCCTGGGCAAGTCACACTCTCTCAACCTCAAGTCATGATTGCTAGGCCACATAGGAAGGTTGCAGACAACTCCTTCCTTTAAAACAATGCTTAATGAATTGTTGTCTGGGGGAATCACACTATCTCAGCCCCAGGAAGGCACATTAACGGTGTCATCACATACTGAGGCCTACATTTTATTGTATGTCTCATGTTAGGAGTTAAGCTTTGATGCTCTTGCAATTATATTAGTGTGCGGGGGGTGGGGAGGTGGTGTCTCTTTTTTTCAGGCCTCCTATTAGGCTTTAAATCTTGCTATAATACTGGGAGGCATCCATCTTGTTCTAGGCCTCGTGTTCCGCTTTATAGCCTTTGCCAGTATATTAAGAAGCTTTCATTTGGAGGTCTCCAATTTGTTCAGATCCCATGCCGGGCTTCATGCCTTTGGACTTTTGTTGCCTCAGGCTTTTCCATTCTGAAGGAAGCCATGTGGTCTTCCCATGTGTCTGACAGTTCCTCCAGGTTCTGCCCAGTCAGGCTCATTGCCTAACAAACTAGAGGCATCAGATCTGGTCTGTTTTGGAAGCTGGGCAGTTATACTCTCTTGCCCTCAAAGCAAGGCATAGACACACTACTGGAAGTACAAATGTTCATTATGTGGTCGACTGCCTGGTTCGAGCTGGGTGTCCTGGCTGTATTTTCATC